GAACTGATCCGATTAATTTCCGTATGGTATTTACAAAAGAACTAATTAGCATTAACACGCTGACTTGCATCAATTCACCGTTTTGATAATCCAAGGTCTTAATAATCCATGGTCTTTATTATCCATAATCTGGATTATCCATAAGTTCAATGATAATTTCTTATGTTTATTTAGTTATTTTTCTTAATTTTGTATCATATTTTAACCAATAATGCATTCGTAATATTTGAATGTAGTTTTCTGTCAGTCTAAGACTTCGTATCATTAACTTTTTTTAATGTATTTTTTTTCCAATAACACAAAGCCAAGCTAACGACCGATACACGAAAAACTAAATGTAGCGAGCAAGTGATTGTGGTTTTTGTTGTAATTATTTTAACTTTAATTCATTTTTTAATTCATTATGATGAAAACAATTCAAAACATTTGTCCTGAATGTATTAACAGATGTCCTCAAAAAAAATCAAATTTTTAAAATAATTATTTTAATTAATCTGGAACACATCGAATCAAAGATATTGAGTGCTACACAAATATCAAACATCGATAAACTTTTAGCTGTATAAAAATATGTAGCTTGGGAAAACACTTATTTATCACGTATATCTCGTAAGCATACAAGATTTATCCTTTCTTATGGGTTTCTGACGTTTTTTTAGGAATTATTAATGCGATATTTTTTTTTATTAAAACGGCCTGATTTGTTAATGTTCTGTGTCAACGGGGGCGTTGTGTGTGTGTTTGTGTGGTGTGTACGAGTGTGCGTGTGTTTGTGGGTGGCCTGTGTATGCGTTTATATTTGTGAAGAACAACAAGGGATATATATTGTGTTATATCTGAATTAAAATATAAATATTTGAACTAGACAAATCTAGTCTCGGGTTTACGTTATAGAGTTAAGGCTTACGGGTTGCGGGGTTAGGGTTTTGAGCTGAACAATCTACAAAGAGAAAAGTTGAAAATTTAGTGATAAAGTCTGTTTTTTTTAAACGCTAACTAAACAACTTTTAACATTGATCCACGCTTTTAACCATCAGCGACACCGCCCAATATGTGGTGAGACTTAAAGGAATTCAACTCTAGTAAACCATATACAGAGTATTGCGATATGTGTCACACTAGGTGTATACACCGTTGTCAGCGAACCTTGTGACGCCACGGACCATCTTAACTAAAGTAACTTGCGGACTAGAGTTGCAGTTACCGTGATCTGTTACTGAAACGTGACAGCGCTGACGTGATTCAAGACACCATGTGATTGAGTCGACGTGATCCGTGGCTTCTTGAGGCAGACCTTGACGTGATCCAGTGCCCCATAACGTCACGTGATCTAACATATTCACCAGTTTAAATTAACGTCATCCAAATCTCAACAAACTAAAACTTGTGTAGCAAGCTTATTATTTCTTAGATGATTACCGGTCAGAATATATACTTAAGACGACATCCGGAGAGATGTTCTCTTTATAAAACTAATTAAAAATTGATTGTTCCCTTGGGATTTATGACGTTTGCATCATTACTGCGAGTTCGCTAACCTTAGCCTATACAAGTTTAAAACCCTTTTCAAGGGAAATAATTAGGCGGAGACAAGTTTGTCATAAGTTAAGTTTATTTCCTTCAATATTATTTTTTCTACAAATATACAAAATATTTTTATTTTACATCCAATAAATAAATATTACGAAATATTTAAAGTGCGAACAATTGGTGAAGCCGTACCTCAACTCAAACTCTTGATGTAGAAACTGCAGGAAAAAACACTTGCAAAGCCAGTTTTATAAACTGACACATTTCAACATGTCCGCAAAGATGAAAGAAAACTTACATAAACATATATCTCATTCTACTAACGTAATGACAAACTTCAACTTCAACACACATACACCAACATCTTGCAACATCCACACTATTACCATACAGGCACATCATCACATAGATGAAAGGCTCACCAACACACACGAAACACATACACATCCGCACACACACACCAACTACCAAATTTTAAGTATGCAGACTCACACAAATCATTAATTGACTAACAAACACATCTCAAAAGCAAGCACATACACCAATAAAAAAATGTGAGATCTACAATTGGTGTAGTTCATATGCGTCATGACAAAGCATGCTGAATGGGGAGTTGCTTGACTTAGTGTTGAAAGCAGAGTTATCAGCCAGGGGCGAATTGTTTGTATACATGCGGTTGACACATTTTTTGTTTTTCCTAGTTAAAACACCACGTCTACTTAATGAATGTTATTGTTTCTATGTGGGGTTTTGGGGGAAATCCTATGTTAACACTTTTTTTCATTTTTTGAGAACCTGTGATAATTTTAGGTAGCGTGTGGGGAAAATTAAGCTTCTTTCTTCTTCTTCTTCGTTCGTAATTTTGGTGCGTCAAGGTATTCCCCCCACCACAATTAAGTATACAAGTCAACTCGTTATGCGCCACTGAGGCCATTGACTCCGATTTCAGCCTGCTTTTCTTTTTGTATTTGATTCCATAGCTTTTGTCCAACCAAGAACAAACTACAAGGCAGCAGTTGTTTGATTTTGGCGTTGTCTCTCCTAGAAGAGTGGCTGTCCCCAGCTAACGAGCCTCATCTGTCCGAAGGTTTGAACTCAAGACTTTTTGGTTTAACAACCATGAGCTTTACCGACTCGACCACGCCGAAAACTCAGCTAATGCTGGCAGATATTTATAGTTAACCATTATACATCTTTTAGCAAAGGTCAGACAGTAAGATATGTACAGAAAAAAAAAAGTTTTAAGTAACGATTCAAACAGTAAAAATTACCAAATGTCATAATACACGTCAGCGATGTCATGTATGTTCTGACATCACTAATGACACTGACATTAAATATAATCATATGGTTTATTATCAATATCAATGTGTACCGTAAAATGTAGTATAAATCACCCAACATTATAATACGCATTTATAATGAGTATGGGTTATACACCTATATAAATATAAGAATGTGAAATATAGGACACAGGTTTGTGTGATCACATAGCATTAAAAAGGAAGATGTTTGTATGAGAAGTGTGGCATACGTAATCAAGGCTACATCTGCATGCTATGCCCAAGCCAGTAAATTAACACAACTATTTAATTTATAGCCTAGCTAGATATATATTACTAGTAGAAAATAAAGAATGAATGAGTATTACAGAAATGTATGCTTAATCCGAATAGTTATCATAAGCTCCATCGCTTTAACCATTAGTTCATCATCGTATCCGTTTCACAGGTATTCATAACTTTTATCATTACAGTATTATTGCATCTGTATGGAATTACTGATAGATTTTCTGTTGTTTTTGTGTGTGTATGTTTTTTTTGTTGGTTTTTTTTTTTTTTTTTTTGACACAGCGGAAAACTGTCCAGAAACACACATAATGATACCGTATTACAGATACATAGTAGTTAAAGATGAAGATAATTCATTCATCTTAGTTTGGGAAATGAATCCATCTTTTGATTAAAAATAAATAATATTGTGATATTATAGCATGCAAAATGTGAATTAAAGTATGGCATCGAAACACGGGAAATGGAACAATAAGTCTTTCAGTCGTTGATACATTTATGATAATTTTACCATCGGAAGTGAAAAAACATTGTCGACAGCAAAAAAAATAAATAGCATACAATTATGTTATATCACAAATTCCGTTGGTAAAAAGTAAAAACATAATATCATACAGAGGTATTATATAAGGGGTTGTCAATTTATGACGTCATATACCCGAATAGTTTCAAATACCAACTCATTGTGACGAATGAGATGAATGTTTGTAAGAACGTGTGAAGTTTCAAGTTCGCATTTAAAAAGTAACTAAAGCAATTTGTAAGTATTTTTTTCCCTCATTTGTATAGACTTTCTCCTAAATTGTAACAGAGATTGATGATCGTTATTACACGGACCCAATTGAAGTAAAATGTTAGATATACAGTAAAAAAACTTTTTTTTAAAAATGTCACAACACACTCATTACAAACAATTGGACATGTCGTTTTAAACGTGAGCCTGTGGAGATTATGTGTGGATAATGAGGGGATTAAGAGTTTACCAAAATATCTGACGTCATTTATGGACACTCGCTAAAATGACCAATTCCGTTGTTTTTTTTTTCAAAAGACTACGGTAGGGTAACAATGACAACGCAGAGTGGCTGACCTTGACGATTCAACATGGTCAGCAACATTGTCCTTGGCTAAAATATTGAATGCGGCACCCAAAACAAAATATATTTTTTGAGACAGGCACATACATTCAGAGGCGTAGCGAGGGGGGGGGGGGGGGGGTGCGGCGGGGGGGGGGGGTGCGGACCGCACCTGGTGATACCATTTAGGGGGGTGACACCACGGCAAAAAATAGCAAAATATATAGAGAAAAACTTGAGTGTGGGAGTGCAAATCGAAAGTTTGAGGGGGGGGGGGTGCAAATCGAAAACTTGAGGGGGGGGGGGGGGGAGCAAATCGAAAGTTTGAAAGTTTGTCCCCGAGAAGGGTCGCTACACCTCTGTATATTGTATCATGTTGTTTAGGAATGGTTAATGTCACATGTCGTTTATAGATGTTAAATGTCATGTTACCGATCGGTGGTAAATGTCACATGATATAGAAAAACAAGTTATTTATTGAAGATGAATGTTGTTGAAATATCAAATGACATTAAATATTTTAAAATGCCAGTCTTTTTTTTGGGGAATTGAAAGCAATAACTTCATTCGGAGAAAATGTAATCCCTCCTGTTAGAGTTGACATTAAATGATTTTAAATGACATATGACACTCGTAATTAGTGTGTAACACCTCACATATGCACAAGCGCACCTATATACAACCTTACTTATATACATATGTGTTTATATAATACTTCTCATCTGGTAGAAAGCAATAGGTTTCGGCAGACAGCCAGAAGGTGATGTGTACACATGGTTTCTGCGCATGTCCCGTCTGTCGTGTGACGATGACGCACTTCCTGTCACACCTCTGTGTGTGTGTTCGTGTCTTCAAAAGCGTGGCTGGCACCGACGACGTTGGAGGGCCCTGAGTAGGTGTACTAGAGCAGACGATACAAAAAAACAATACGTGAAATGCCGTTTCTAATACTAGGATTGCTGGCAGTGTTTCTTTCAGGCATATCTTCGGGGTGCCCGCCCCCGAAAATGTCTACCGCCCCCCCCCCCCCTGCAAACGAAATGAAATTTATATAGAAAATATATACTTTTAACAGTTTCCGCCCCCACCCCCGAAGAAAGTCTACTGCCCCCCGAAAATTTCAAGTGCCCCCCCCCGGAGAAAAAAGTCTGGAAGAAACACTGATTGCTGGGTTAGGACTACCGCACTGTTTTTATAAACAGCTTCTATGTTTTTTTTATACTTGTCACGGCCCTTTTGTATGACTGGGTTCATGGCACAAACTAAAGGCAAATACAAACCACATTATTGGTGATTTTACAGTCTTTTATTGATATCAGATATATAGCAGCTACACTACTAGAACCACGACTTTCCGTTTTGTCATCTTTTATTCTCTCTCTCACTTCCCCTCTTTTGCGCATGCGCCTGCCCACAATATATATTAGATTTATATCGCCTTTTTACACCTTCATTCGAAACATACATTCATCCTACATTTGACTGTTACAATACTGTTCGGAGAAAGCATACGGTAGGTACAATAAGGTGTATTTCATCTAAGTAAAATGTTCACCCTAGTTTTTTGTTTACCTACACATAAAATATGTTAATTAATTTGGCATTAGCAGACATGTGTAAAGCGAACTTTAATAGTTGAAATTAAGTTTAATTACTTTCACTCAACTTTTCTTTTTGTTCTTTTACATGGTATTGAACAACTGAGGAGGTTACTATAATAAGAATTTTAATTCCTTCATTTGGTTTAAACCCCAGGCTCAACAATTAGCGTCAGTGGTGTTTTTTTTTTCAGATATCCTTTGATGATAGGGTAAAATACAGACTGCCTAATAGAAAAAAATTGTAAGAAGAAAATACAAGCTTTAACCCTCCACTAAATCGAAGTTTAAAACTCCACGCCACACCGACACACAGAGTTAAATGTGGCCTATAGGTTTATCTATTTATACAGGTTTTTCTTTATAGTATCGCTGTAAGTGTTAAGGTATAAGGAGCAGCATGCTTATTTTAGCGTAGCGAAACTAATCAAACCACAGTTTCAAAACTTTTAACATGTTACACGCGCCACATAATGTAAGCGTGAACCAACCTCCTATTGGGGGTTACACAAAGACGGCGGTAGCTGTTACAACGACTGGACCAGTCCTGTGCTGACAAATACATATTCTTACGTCACGCGACCTACCGTTGATGACGTATGAGATCGTCTCCTGGTACCGTTCATTGACCTTGGTTCCGTGTCTATATGACCTTTGAAGGACAGCCTCGCTTTGGACTTTAAAGCTGAGCCGAAAGACATCTGCAACAAAATCAGTGGTAACAGCTAAATGGAAATAGCCCTCATCAAATACGTCAGTGACGCGATCTACCATTAGTCTTACACTTAACCTGTCTAGTATTTATTTATTTTTTAAGTGAAATATTTCAGTGATAGTCGTCGATGTATAAACGTTAACCTACTTGAGTTTAAATGACATAACTGATTTTCTGCGACTCATGGATGTTAATAGCTGGGTGACGACCCCTCGCAATGAATATTTAGCGAACGTCCAAGTAAACCAATGACACACCCGTCCTGAGAGCTATTAGGACCCCCCTCGTCCTCCTTCGTCCTGTCCATACCCGGACCTTAATATAAATGTCCGCCTGGACATCCAATTTGAAATATTTTTTATGTACACATTTCTCTAACTTTTCAATTTCATCTCCACCGTCTAGTCAATTTATCATCCCATGCCCCCCCCCCCTCCCCTACATCTTCCATCTACCCTCTATCTCCCCCTAAAGTCCATTTAACCAGTAGCCCACTAGACCAAACATATTAAGCACACATAAATAAAAACACACGGAATTACCCTCGACTTGTGAGCGTCCATCTTAGACTTGTAGACGAACTCGATGGCGGCGGAAATGACGGCGATGACGAGCCCGCCAATCAGAATGTAGAAGATACCCGCCACGTTGGCCAAGGTCAAGGCACTTTGAGCACTATCCGACTTGGAGCTGTACTGAGGGCATTCACCCTTGTCAAACCAGAACTTCTCCCACTTGGCCAGGGCCCCGTTTTCACGGAACTTTAGAACCGCGAAATTGAGCCTTTCCCTGCAAAACAGATGTGTAATCTTGGTTTTTATTTTTCGTTTTTTTTTTAATAGCGTACGCTGAACGAGACCCTTCCTACAAGATATATGTAAAACTATGTTTCAAGAACAGCGATTGGCTTGTTTCAGTCTCTAGAAATATAACTACATCTAAGTCTGCAGCTTGTTTTAAATAGATATATATATTAATTAAATTGTTTCTTGTGATGAAATATCCATTAATATGTAATTCGTTTCTCTTTTAAGCCGAATTTGGACGTATTAATATAATTAAATTCGTTTTCACCTCTGAAACTCTTAATTGAAAGAGATGTGTACTGCATCTGGCATTAAAACGAGAGGTTAATATCATAGTCTAGTCTAACAGGTAGGTATTCCCTTGTCTGTCATACAACACGCCCTACAGGTGTGGTTACATAATCTGAGATCTGGCCCCAAAAGTGTGGTGACCCTGATCAAAGTTTTTTCCATGCATTCCTTCGGGGATGATCCTCCCCCCCCCCCGGAAGCAAGTCTACCGGCCCAACCCCCCCCCCCCCCGGAAATTGGTGTACGCACCACCCCCCCCCCCCCCAATATCAAGTACACCCATCAATTAAGAAACACGATACCTGACCCCATAAACTTGTCTCCCCTACCTGAGATCTGACCCCACAGGTGTGGCGATCCCAAACCCGTCAGAATTCAAGTTGTTCCCGACTTTCAGCGTGTCACATGGCTTCCGGTTGCTGACGTAATCGATGGTGGAGGACTCGGTCAGGTATGCGTATTTCCCGTTGGACGACCGCACGCGCCGGATGCCGTCCTCGTGGGTCTGGACAAAGACGGACGGGACCGCTGACGTCATGTAGGCCCACATACGTTGGTAGGTCTGGAACTGAGATTTCTGCACAGAAGAGATCAGATGAAGACGACAAACTTAAACCATAGTTTGGACATTTACATAGCATGGACATTTACATAACATTAACATTTACATAGCATGGACATTTACATAGCATGGACATTTAAATAGCTTGTAATCAAACACCAGTTGATAGACTACCTGTGATCAAAGACCCTCTGCTGAGAAAACACCTGTGGTCAAACCCCCTATGGTCAAACCCCCTATGATCAAACCCCCTATGGTCAAAGCACCGCTATGGTCAAAGCCCCGCTGTGATCAAACCCCCTATGGTCAAAGCCCCTATGGTCAAAGCTCCGCTGTGGTCAAACCCCCTATGGTCAAACCCCCTATGGTCAAAGCTCCGCTGTGGTCAAACCCCCCATGGTCAAACCCCCTATGGTCAAAGCACCTGTGGTCAAAGGTCCTAGGACCAGTATTTTCAACATATCTGACCACTGACCATGAAAAATGCCTTAGTGCTCCCGGACACGATTGTCCCGTACTGTATCTCGGTTTGCCTGGCCAGGTCCTCGGCTGAATCTATGGGCGTCAACATCCGCTCGACGGTGAGGAAGGCGGCCAGGTTGGCGGTGTAGGAGGAGATGATGATGAGGGTGAAGAACCACCAGACGGACCCCACGATCCGCCCAGAGATGGACCTGTAAGGGTTAAAGTTTGGTTGATGAGGTGCATAGGGTTGAAGTTATAAGCAGTGGATGAGCTACATGTTTATAGAATACAATAGGTTAACCGCAACAAAAAAAAATATTAAAGACATGCACGAAAACGTTCACAAGAAAATTTAAGTACATATACACATCGAGAATTATACATCTAAATCACATGAAAAGCCGTCTGCGGATTCTTTTAGCGCAAGATATATTTAGGCAAGATGATGTGTTTAACTGGACTGAATAATTCATTAATTGATGATTCTAAAGAGATGACTATTCCGATAAAATTTTTTACATCTAAAAGCTTCTAATATATTGGTTTTTCTTACATTCTTTATTCTTAGGGAAATCGACATTTCTGGGGGGGGGGGGGAAATGATGTTTCTCTAATTCATCTGCTCGACATGTTATTGCAGGTAATTGAACTTACCTGGGTGATATATCGCAGCCTTAGTGCAGGAAATTGATCTTACCTGGGTGATATAGCACAGCTATAAATCAGGTACTTAAACTTACCTGGGTGATATATCACTTCCTTGATATTTCAGGTAATGGAACTTACCTGGGTAAGTCTTAGTGCAGGTAATTGAACTTACATGGGTGATATATCACAGCTATAGTGCAGGTAATAGAACTTACCTGGGTGATATATCACATCCCTGCTGCATGAAAGCACCCAAAGAGAACCAGAGCGAGTTGGAGATGGAGAAATCGTTGATGACCGAGGGCTGGACGGTGGGTGAGTGCCACTCGTTGGGGCTGGGTTAGAACAGAGAAAGCAAGGATTATGTTTCTGGTGCAGCTGCAATCGTTGGAGAATTGTCAATTTTAAAATCTACAATATTGTAATCAGTTATCAGTAACAATGCAAGAATATACATTGGAAAATTGTAGGTATGAGAAATTCAAGGCTATAATTTTTGGGGAGTTTAAAGCAAAAGGGTATAATGGCCAGAAGTGTAGTAAGCCTAACATGGCTATAAAAAATCTACAAGATGGAAAGTTGTACATTTACCGGAACGTTCAAATTATCTGTTGGTATGTATAAAATCAAGTTCGATGTGTATAACTATCTGATCATTCTGGCAAAATGTAAACCTACCTAAACCTACTGATTAGATGCTAACCTAACTAAAACTAGTGACCTGATGTAAACCTACCTGAACCTACTGACCATATATAAACTTACCTAAAATTATTAACCAGATGTAAACCTACCTGAACCAACTTATTAGATTTATACCTTCATGAACATATTGACCACATATAAGCCTAAACTTACTGAACTGATATACACCTACCTAAACCTACTGACCACAAGTAAACCTACCTGAACCTACTAACCAGCTATAAACCTACCTGAACCTACTGACCAGAAAGAGCACCACACTGACACCAATGTAAGCGAAGACGATACACATCCAGATCTCTGACGACAGCGGCTCCATGAAGGAGAAAAAATGTTTGCCCGGGGGCTGGGGTCTTTTGATCATGATCGAGATGCCCATACTCATGAACGGTTTGGTGAAATCGATCACTCGCGATCGATCGGCCGTGATCGTGAACGGCGCTATGGCCATGTCCGCTTCCTAGAATGAAAAAATAAACACCTTATTTCAACAGGTAATTTATAAACACTATGTTTCCTACTTAATTACTAGTTCTGCCGCGTATGCAATACATACATACCTTACATTTTACAGTAAAATATATGTCATTGTATAATCTGAGCTCGTTGCATTCTTTACACTGGGTATACAATACATACGTGCCTCACATTGTATAATTTGAGCTCGTTGTATTCTTTACACTGGGTATTCGTAGTCCATGTATATAATACGCATAATTGTTTTACATTAGCTTTTACCTTTTAAATAAACCATGAGTGATCTCCCCTAAACGTTCTCGAATATTCTTATATAAAACAAAGGTGGTTGGCAACTCTGGGTATAGACTTGATTTTAAATCCATTTTTAATTACTTAAACTTTTTACAATATAATAGAATCTCGTATATGAGAAAGTAGAAATACTATCTTACATAGCGAATGTTGCGGTTTGGTTTTTATTCAATCCAAAACACGATCCGAGTCAATGTTCAATACTTTATATGTTCCCGTCTTCACACTTTACACCGCATGCACTATTAAAAATTCCCTAGCTGTTAAAAACAAAGCCCCTTCACAATCGTATACTCCTCTTTTATACCAGCATTCTACCTTAGGATAAAAATACATAAACATCCCAGCCTTAACTCATACACGCATTCCCCCTAAATTCTAGACTATTCCAACCTTCAAATGACCCGTACAACGAATACATTTCTTCTAGTCACGCTTACATAATACTTACATGTCTTATCAGCTCCCCAACGATGCCGTCCCAAGTTCCGTTTTTCAACAAGGTGCCGTAGTTGCTGTCCTTGACGAACTTTATGACGTAATCAAAATTGATCTGGCCAGAATTTGATTCACAATAAAAATATCAGTATGTTTTAGAATACGTGCGGTGTTCATTAATTAAAATATAAGTGTAGCTTAACAGTTGCATTACCAAATACATGTAGATTGACATCAAATTGGATCAGTAAATTGGAATGTGTTCACCTAGTCTATGATACAACCTGTTTAAGCTGAGGTTTTAAAAATGTTTGACCGTTTGTTTATTTGGACATGACGGTACTCCGTAACCTCCTTTTAAGAGAGTTCTGGCTTTTTATCTAGGATAAAGGTTGAATCTGGCTTTTTTTGGACAAGATGGGAATCTGGCTTTTCTTGGATAAGGTGACAGTTTGGCTTTTTGTTGTACAAGGATGGAATATGGCATTATTTGGACAAGGAAGGGTTTGTGTTTGTAGGTCCTGGTATTTTTGGACGATAATTTAGCTGCTGCTTATTTCGGACTATAGGGTAGCGGAGTACCACTCGGGTGAAATAAATTATTGAAGAATATAAGTCAAATATGACCTCTAACACGTGATACATTGACAGTGGTGTCATAATTACCTCTTTGGCGACGGCTATTGTTAGATCGATGCAAAATCCTTCAAGTTTCTCAACAGCAATGAACGGGGTGCCGTCTTGAACTCCATTCTTAAACATGACGTACGGGTCTTTCTAAAACAGTTAAGTACAAGTATTTAAACATGACGCAGGTTTTTTTCTGAAACTGTTATGTACAAGTATTTAAATATGACGTACGGGTCTTTGTGAGACTGTTATGTACAAGAATTTAAACACGACGTACTTTTCTTTCTGAAACCGGTATGTACAAGCATTTAAACAAGACATACGGGTCTTTCTGAAACAGTTATGTACAAGTATTTAAACATGACGCATCGGTCTTTCTGAACTCGTTATGTACAAGAATTGAAATACGACGTACTTTTGTTTCTGAAACCGTGATGTACAAGTATTTAAACATGACGCTCGTGTCTTTCTGAAACCGTTTGTACAAGTAAAACGCTAATGCTATTAAATTCGAATTAGTTTAGGTCTAAAGTGTTTATTTTTTGTGTTCTTCTAATCTTAATACATTATTTGTTTCGTTATGTTTAATAATGCATCTGAATGTTTGTGTTAAGTCTGACTCCCATGTATTGTCATGACGTCTGACTAATTTGTATTGTTGTGTTTTCTGACTCACCTTTAATGTTGTGATATGACACCTGTATTGTTGTGATGTCTGACCCACCTGTAATGTTGTGATATGACCCGTGAATGTTGTGATATATGACTCACCTGTAATGTAACGATGTATATCTCACCTGTATTGTTGTGATGTCTGACTCACCTGTAATGTTGTTATGTCTGACTCCCCTTTAATGTTGTGATATGACCCGTGAATGTTGTGATATATGACTCACCTGTAATGTAACGATGCCTTTCTCACCTGTATTGTTGTGATGTATTTCTCACCTGTAATGTTGTGATGCCTGACTCACCTTTAATGTTGTGATATGACCCGTGAATGTTGTGATATATGAGTCACCAGTAATGTAACGATGTATATCTCACCTGTATTGTTGTGATGTCTGACTCACCTGTAATGTAACGATGTATATCTCACCTGTATTGTTGTGATGTCTGACTCACCTGTAATGTAACGATGTATATCTCACCTGTATTGTTGTGATGATCCGTGTTCTGTTCACATGACTATTCTCGTGACCCCGATACAAGCGAGGTAACTGCACTTGAAACTTTCCCTCTCTTTCGCTCCAATAACCTATCTGGAGTGTTAGGATTTTAAAAAATAACATTTACCTATAAGGAATAATGAATTTTGAAAAAGGAGGTAAGACACTTTTTTGTTGTTTTCTTTTCTTACTCCCCCTGAGACATGTAATTTACAGCGTCAGTTTGCCTTGCCATATTCGCTTTAGTATTAGTTTTCATCATCGGCTTGTGAGGACTGATACAGATTTACAAAAGTAATACTTCTTTCTGACATGTAGGTACTTCCATTAATTTAAAATGGTTTATTTATACATAGTACAGACCGTCTAATTACAATTTTATTTATCAAACCTGTAATGTAAATGTGTAAATAAAAATTAAATTATTTAACGATGGTGTAGTGCAGGGGTCGGCAACCTGCGGCTCGCGAGCCGCATGCGGCTCTTTTGATGTCAAGTTGCGGCTCTTCGGCTCCATGCACAAATATTAATAATTATTTTATGTTATTTTCAAAACTCATCAAAATATTGTTCTGCAACACTTGGTAATGAATTAAATAATAATCAATTTAAACAATAAACACTCGCTATTCTATTAGAATATTTAGGTACACCCTATTATCAATGTACCCCCTATTAAATTGTTTATCCCGAATTGAAACATTCAACTATATGGTGGATATCACAAAGAAACAACATTAGCTAAATGTAAAACTGCAAGAAAAGGAAAACTCAGCCTATGCCTTGCTTGAGAAGTAGATGTTTAGAAATTAAATTACTTTTTTGTTGTTGTTGAAGACACGGAGAGCGGTAAATTACTTGATTTCGAAAAACCTGAATACAAAAATCATGAAACCAATGCAACGATTAGCATGAATTGCTTCAGCATTACAACAAACAAAACGAAGGATGGATTCACTGAGAGATTTGAGCAATTCAAAACAAATGCAAGTACTCTGACGTTCATAGTAGACTCTCTCAACACAAAAACAAATGAGATTAACTTTGAGCTATTTGGAATTGATGCTGGTTCGGTTCAAATGCAATAGCTGGACTTGAAAACGACTCATTTTTGGAGCGGAAAATTCACAGAACTCAAGAGCAAGTAAAATAGTTGAAGGTCCAGTAAAACATGCACGTTACGCTGCACAACTGGACAGCTGTAAAAGAAATATCGCGAGTTGAGGCACTCATACGTGACGCATGGAATAGTCTTGCAGGATAGTACAGTAACGTGGAGAAGTTGACATCTGGAGTGCTGACGATCTTTAGGTCAACATTCGTGCTATCAATAGTTCTCTTACATGAATATAGTAACAAGTTAAGTAAGAAGCCAACTAACAAAAAAAAATCTAGAGGCGTGCTTGAAACATCATAAAACAAGAAGTTATGAGCCAGATTTAAACAAACTTTCAAACGGCATGAAATGTCTATGCTCCCATTGATGTAACTAATGTAAATATTCAATGATTATAGTTGTATTATTGGATTACTAATTTTATAATTTTATTTTTTAGCAGAACTACTAAAATACTATAATATGTATTGTGCGAAACATGTGTATTTAAAAAAAAAATATGAATAAATATTAGTTCATATTTAGCTATATATTTAAATTATATATATATATATATATATATATATATATATATATATATATATATATATATATATATATATATATATATATATATATATATATATATATATATATATATATATATATATATAATTATATATATAATCATGTATATGCATATACACCTAACCCTAAATATTGAAAAAAACGTTTGTGGCTCTTTAAGAACTGGTAAATGTGGTAAATTGCATATTTTGGCTCTTCCGTCGGAAAATGGTTGCCGACCCCTGGTGTAGTGGGATGTGTGGATATGGCTTTAACTCTATAACTAGAGCTGAAGCATATTGGGTGATAGAGATTAATATATATATATATATATATATTTTTTTTTTTTTTTTTTTTTTTTTTGCCTCAGACACGTAATTTATAGCGTCAGTTGTGTGTTCGCTTTAGTATTACAGTTTTCATCATCGGCTTGTGAGGACTGATACAGATTTACAATAGTAATATTTCTTTCTTACTTGTAGCCTGCTTTCATTCATTTAAGATGGTTTACTTATACATAGATCTAATACAAAACGTCTAAATATAAAGAAAAAATAAAAATTAAAAACCAACCTGAAACTGAAAATGCAAATGTATAATTAAATGATGATTTAAGGGATTTTTTTTTCTCGGCGTGGTGGGCTGAGGGGACGAGGGGGGGAAAGGGGGATTTTTTTTTTTTAAAGTAGAGCTGAAATGAATTTGGGATTACAGAGAATTAAAATGATACAAATTTTAAGCAATCGGAAAAGCAATGTTATTAAAATGAGACACGTAAAAGCAAACACTCTTCCCTTTCAAACATCTATATCTATACAGTCCTCAATTAGGTTTTTTTTCCTTTTTATTTTTTATTAATTCAATTGTTTTAAACATTTAAATCAGTAATAATTATTTATTTGATAGATTTTACACAACATCAAAGACATGAACATCAATTGCATATATAATAATCAAATGGATAAAATAAAATGGCATAAGAACTAGACTAAAATAAGGTGTGGAAACTAGGTTTCTCTTGACTGCTTAGTTTATTGAGTGCTTTGTCCTTAGCTGAAGAGTCAAAAGTTCACATTTTAGCCACCCATGGACAGAAATAGAAACGACCGTGGGAGAAGTGTCTCTGCAGTACACATACTGATCTATCATTCCAAAACTTTCCATGACATAAAATTGGCCCTTGGCAAAGAGGGCACGCTACCTTGAAAAATCCGGTTGAATGGGGGGAAGTGTGGGTGGGGGGAGGGGGGGATGAGGTGTGTATCTCTTTCTACCATTCAGGTTGTGCACTTTTAAAAACCTGGGAAACAGAAGACTGTTCTAATGTTAATTTACTTGAGGGCTGATCGAGTGATGTTTAGCTTGAGACTGTCGATATTAATTATGCATGTAGTTTATTTGCTTCTTCTGTAGTTCAAATGTTAGTTTCCTGTAAAAGTAGGATGTCAATATTGTGTTTATTTATTATGTTGTTTATATAATGTTTTTGTCCCTAGCCCCCCTGATGTTCAATGTTGCCAGAGTTAGCATGAATTATTTGGGGTTTTCTTTCGAACATTTGTTTCTGGAGGGCTGGATGGTGGTGGTCTTTTAACGCCAAACTTTCCAGCCGCTGGTTTGCTATCCCGTTGGGCCCTGGTCACGACCCTTTGAGGTAGCTTTACTGTAGGTAATTGATTTTTACTTGAACTGATTGCTTGACTATATGACAGTTGACCTGATACCTTTGCTGCTGATATACTTTGTGAGCTTTTAATTTCCTTTAGCGGTTTCGTTATGTTTTCTGAACTAGTGTTATCTTGAAGAATATCATTTATTGTTTCGTCGACAGCCTCCAAATTTTCTTGATTCCCATCTTTTTGAGACCCTGTTCCTATGGAATTTCTGATCGCTATTGTCTCCATGGCTTCGGCCTCTATGGCGGTTTCTGTTACGCTTTCGTTAACTTGCTGTGATGCTGCAGTAGTATGATGTGCTTCAATTTGACCATTTACTCCAAAGGCATCTTCTACCTCTCTATGCCTTGCTTCTCTAAGCATTTCATTTTGTCTTTCTCTCATAACTGTCCCAATGCTTTAAGAAATTTCTATTGTTACTTAGATGCTCCCTAACTTCTTCTTTATCATTTGCATCCCAAGGCTCAATTGCCCTGTACTGTCCGTCTACTAGCTGGACGCCGTCAAGAGCGCGAGTCCTCAAATGCTCACACATTTTAGGCAGGTGTCTGTCTGTGTTGCAGTGGCAACATTGCACCCTCCTCCCATTGAGGATTATAAGGACTCTGCTCTCCTTGTTGGCCTCATTTGTAAGTATAATATAGTGTGGCACACTCTCCACATCTTCTTTCTCCAGAGAGATGGTGAATTGGACCACATTTGATTGGTCTATTCTCTTAAATGTTGGTGTTGAGTCCTGACTGCTTATAGATTTCAGAATCGCCATTATATCATCGTCGCTTGTCTTGGGAGGGAGCCATTTCAGCATGCCTCTTTGCCCAGGTTTATCGGCGTGGGTTATTGATATTCTCTGCACTCTGTATCTGGATGTTACCCCAGGTGGCAAATCTCTGTGAAATTCTTTTAGGTGCATTTTCTCATATAGTTCCTTTGATCTAATGGTGACATACCATTTACGCAGTGTCCCATAGTTATACAGACCTTCGAATTCAGCTGGTGATAGGCTACATAACATACATAGCTCTCTTTTTAGTTCGTCAGCTGTGAGAGTAGCTAAAGAAAAACCCTCTTCTATGAAAATCTCTAGAGTTTTTGGTGCATGTCCTGCCATGCCAAACTTAGGCAAGAATAGCCGTTTGATGTATTTTTCCGACATAGTGGCCAGACAGCACACACAAGAAATAAAAAAGAAAAAAAAGTACTTACAATGTATAAAATGTGGAAAAAAAAAATAACACACACACAAGGTTCCAAATGGAAATACACACGAGTTTGAATAAGTAGAGATGAAATTAATCCAGAGTCACTGATTCTTTAAGGCAATAACATCCTACTTAGTCTTCATTTCTTTTGTAGGCTATGAATATTTATGATATATTAACGGTTATAAAATTATCATATTACAAAGAAAATGGCTTACTAATATTGAGGAATAATCATCACGGGTTAGACTTATTTTACGTTAACTACTAGATTTTACAATCCCTATTCATTCATATGATAGAGATTAATATAAAAGCATATAGGCGAGCAGAAATGTACAGGGAGTGGGCAACAAACAATAAATATTCCAACTATAAATATATATCTCCCTTAAAATAAAAGATTATTGTGTTTAATGATTAAATAGTTCGTATATAATAAATGAATACATGTTAAAGTTATATTTACTTATTGCGGACATGGATTATAATATAAAAAACTATTTTATAGAAGACAATTTTAAGCATATCACACCGAATTTATGTATTAATATATATTATGTATGAGTATAACCAAAGTAGTCTCTATTCAACGGATATGAGAGTAGCGTCCCTTTATTTAAAACATTAAATCGTAAGACAATTTTAAACTATTGATGGATAAATTTGAAGATCAGAGGCCTAGCGACCCTTCCCGGCGCCCGGGGACAAACTTTCGATTTGCACCCCCCCCCCTCCTCAAACTTTCAATTTGCACCACCTCTCCCTCAAACTTTCGATTTGCACCCTCCCTCGAACTTTTCATTTGCACCCCCCCCCTCAAACTTTCAATTTGGCGCCCCCCCCCCTAAGGTCGGCGCCCGGGGACATATGTCGTCGTCCCCCCCCCCCCCCCGCTACGCCTCTGTTGAAGATATTCCTCTTACCTTAGCTGTCCCTCTTGTCATAGCGATGTTGTACACGTCTAGAGTAAAATCTTTTCTTTGCCCGTGTTCATTAAATGCAACATGGCCAGTGATTCCTTCAAATTTTGTCTGATAGAATACAAATACAAATATAGGTCCAGTAACTGGTAAAATATTTTTAACAAAGAAGCAAATAGTGGTTTACGTCCCTTTTAAAATAAATACTAGGAAACAGCAAGAAAAGGCTAATTAAAACATATGAACGTACATGTTCATGATTATAATTTAAATAAACAAATTTAACGATAATTATATATAAAATATGAACATTAAAATGCACTATTTATATGACTTAATTACTAATTCTGGTGAAAACATATGATCAAAACTCAATGGTTTTTACTTATTTATAAAAATTAATGTTAAGTTTAATTAACGTAATATTTGACTTCATTTATGTCTCCTAAGTATGTTTCTAAAACCAAAACGTAAGTTAAAAATAGATGACCTTCTTCATCTCCTCCAGGACAATATTCCCGTGGGCAGTCCTGACCTCTGAGTCGTCCGTGCACTTGACCGGCTTGCCTACGCCTGGCTGCCGGCTGTGACGTAAGAAGTTGGGCTCACGGTTCAAAATAGAGGCCAGCGCTCTCCGGAACAGCCGGACAGAATCAGCGGCCAGCGCAGCCTCATACTGGGAAAAATAGAAAGGTTAGGTTTAAAAACTGGCCTCGTTCTGGTTATTATTTAAAGTTGATGTTTATATATTTTCTATTTAAAAAATTAAAAAAAAAAAAATTCTTATTTTCAAAGACAACTTTGTTCCGAAGTTGGAATTTCAATAAACTTCTTCTTTTTCGTTCTTAATTTTTAGTGTTGGAAGGGATCGAATATGTTTACATTAACATTGATTGTTTGTAATGTTAGTAAACAAACGTAGCCAACTACCAGTGGCGTTGCTAGGTCGGGTGTCACCCGCTGTGGCACCTAGGAATGAACGTAGATGTCATCCCAACCCCCACCCCCGACCACTTTAATAAATCTAAACTTTGCACCGATAAAAGTAACGAGGTTTACCTTTAGTCGGTTATCAATACACTTTGATTTAACATTGTTTTCTCTATAGCAAACAAGCTTACGACATGGTGTCACCCTTCCCCCCCCCTCCCCTCCTGCCCATGAGGGTTTATCAATTTTGCTCTTTAAATACAATTTATCTCAAATTAATCATTAATTTAAATGGAATGGTATTTTTTAAAAATATATTTTGCTATTTTTACGTTGGTGTCACCACTTTAAATAGTGTCACCCGGTCTGCACCCCCCGCCCCGCACTCGATACGCCTCTGCCTACTACTACACATGAATAGTTATTTCAACGCTGTTAGTAGAGGAAACAGCCATTATAAATGGCAATCATTCTGGATTAACTCAGCATCATAAGTTGAATCCCTCAGTTTTAACATATCGCCATTATTATTCGTTTTCATGAGTGAAATATTTTAACGTAGATTAATAATCTTGCTCAAATAACCTCATAATGGTATTTAATTATACCATATTGTCTTGAAAATGAGAATCCCTGCTTCGTCTTCTTAACATCGCATATTTATGCCTATACTCATATATACCACTATATCCTATATACTTACATTGATATTCCTGCTCCGTGCTCCGTATACTTACATGTGTATCACTGCTCATTACCTCCATATATTCACATTGATGATTGGTTTCCATATAGACTACTTAAATTGATATACAGCCGGCCACATACACTCACACAAAAACCCTTGTACCCAGCTTCTACAAACTTTGATATTCCTGCTCCCTGCTCCCATATACTCACATTGACATTCCTGCTCTCATTACCCATATACTCACATTGATATTACTGCTCCCATATACTCACATTGATATTCCTGCTCCCATATATTCACATTGCTATTTCTGCTCCCATATACCAGCATTGATATTCCTGCTCCCATATACTCACATTGATATACCTGCTCCCATATACTCACATTGATATACCTGCTCCCATATATTCACATTGCTATTTCTGCTCCCATATACCAGCATTGATATTCCTGGTCCAATATATTCACATTGATTTTCCTGCTCCCATATACTCACATTGATATTCCTGCTCCAATATTCTCAAGTTGATATTCCTGCTCCCATAGCCCATATACTCTCATTGATGATCCTGCTCCCATATACTCAAATTGATTTTCCTGCTCCAATATACTCACATTGATATCCCTGCTCCCATATACTTACATTGATTTTCCTGCTCCCATAACACATATACTCAAGTTGATGTTACTGCTCCCATATACTCACGTTGATATTCCTGCTCCAATATTCTCACGTTGATATTCCTGCTCCCATATACTCACGTTAATATTCCTGCTCCCATAACCCATATACTCGCATTGATATACCTGCTCCCATATACTCACATTGATATTCCTGCTCCCATATACTCACATTGATATTCCTGCTCCCATATACTCACATTGATATTCCTGCTCCCATATACTCACATTGATATTCCTGCTCCCATATACTCACGTTGATATTCCTGCTCCCATATACTCACATTGATATTCCTGCTCCCATATACTCACATTGATATTCCTGCTCCCATATACTCACATTAATATTCCTGCTCCCATATACTCACGTTGATATTCCTGCTCCCATATACTCACATTAATATTCCTGCTCCCATATACTCACGTTGATGTTCCTGCTCCCCGCCCCAGGCCAGGCTAGAGGGTCAAGATTTGACCACTTGGACAGAAAAATATCAGCAGTCGAGTTGTTGGCGTCCACAAGTTGGAAGCCGGTGATGTTGACACCTCCAATTTTAAAGTGGCTCAGGTTCATCTCTAGCATGCTCTGGTAGATGAAAATTAAGGACACGATAGGCCAAGTACTTGCCTAATCTAACACAGGAACCCGAGGAATATTAAGACACCAAGCTAACTCTGATTTGAAAGCGGCGTTAACACATTTGATAAACAAGACGATAGCGTAGTAACATAGTAAATAACCTAATAAACATGTTTTAATCAATGTTTTAATCATTAAAAAACACTACAGTTAACATCCTTCTCATAGAAAACCAAATACATAAATTTGACTTACCAAATCACCGAGTAGGAAATGGAACTTCCCGTTATTGACGTTTGTGTCGTTCATCTAGTTGGATGATAAAAATAGATTAGTCGTATTAGGCTAAGATAACTGCTGTGAAACAGATATGTAATAGTGTTCAAAATAATTGCTTCATATTATGCTAACAGTGATATAGTTTCTGTTTTCAAACATTTTTGTGTCTTAATTATTCATTATCTGATGCAGTAAACACACGCTTTATTTTTTTTACTAATACACTTCTCTTTAAAATTTCGATAAAATTGTTTTGAGACAAGACATTTTATTCTAACCATTTATTGATGTAAACAATAATGGAGCATATTCTGAATAGCCTTTTTTATGGTTAAGAGTCCCGTCAACCTATTTACACTCGAAGATCAATAATTTATTAAAGTTACAAGTATGTAATGTAAGCTAATAAATAGGCTTATAGTTTTTTTGAGTTATTTTATCAAATCAAACTTTATTCAAATTTTTGTATTCTAAATATCAAAAACGTTGTATTACATTTAAAGTTTCTCAACATTGTCTTATTTTCCCTCAGTAACTTAATAATATGAATATGTTTCTTTTTTTTATGAAACAATATTTCTCTATTTCTCTTGACTTAATCATTTATTTTCTCCTTTGCCCCAACAACCCACCCTTATTATTATCTCTCAGCAAGATAATCAACATCCTTATGACGAGAGTTGTTTCCCCTGCTTAAAAAAAAGAATTGTCTGACTTGCCCAGCGTGAAAGGGCCAAGATTAACAACACGACGAAATGATTATGGCCACACAACACAACATGGCCCTCCCGCCAATTCCATTTGCGAACGCCCTCCCTGACACCATGCGAACTTCTCCGTACAACGAAAATTACCGAGATACATTTTCAACTCTTTCAATAACATCCTCCCAACCAACCTCACCCCACCAGCCATCGTAGCTTGTTCCACGCAAATCACCTTCCTTCTACACGCCAAACGACATCTCATTTTCTCTAAAGATAGTTTCCCATGCCGGCGAAAAGGAAAAAAAAAATCAAGTTGACAATTTACACAAGCGAGAATCAATATTTCAATTTTTGTCCACAGAAAAAAAAATAGTCTTCATCCAGTTTCCCAAAATCAATTTTGTATGCTCCGTAATGTTTCTGTGGATTTTGCGATAATTTTTTGTGTTGTTGGGGGGTTTAACCTTGTGACGTCACGACGTAATCTGTTTACGCCCGTAATTATGACGTCATCAGGTGATTAGGTTGAAGTGACCTAATAGGAGTTAGTTTAACCTTGGCCTTGGCTTTGCAAAAATAAAAAAAATAAAAAAAAATAAAAAACACGATACTTTGTATATTCATCAATACGCTAAACACGAACCAGCTGATTAGCACATCCCAACTCACACTCCAACCCACCCTCAGCCCCACCCCTAATTATAATTTTTTTTTAGAAAATTAACAGATAATTGCATCAAAACATTATTAAGATAATGATAAAATGTTGAGGGACTTAGAGCCTGAGGCTTGTCGGCTTAAGGTCAGAGGTCACTAAATAATCAAGGGACTACATCTTATTAATTAAAGTTCAATATATCTAGTTAAAGCTAGGTACACCATGCTAATTTGTCATAAAATTATCGCGGGTTATCCTAATAGATTGCAATCGATAAGTCTTAAGCTTCATCATATGTGTGTAATTTTAGGGTAATTTTCGGGCCGTAAAACTTCTAACTAAAAGACCTTGGATAGGAGCTTAATTCCCATGTGAGTTTCGAGTTATGGGTCGTGAAAGTCTTGGCTCGGTCGAACACTAAGTGTGTAGCTAGTTTTCTCTTATATAAAGGGATGTTCGCAGTTCAGCTCATTTGTAGATTGGGTACTTACGATACATACGATAAATATGCTTGTCTTTGTTTTCGTTATGTGTGTGTGTGTTTGTGTGTATCTCTGTGTAATATGTGTGTATGTGTATTAGTGTATTATGTGTGCATGTGTGTTTGTGTGTGTCTCTGGGTAATATGTGTGTGTGTGTGTATCATGTGTGATGTGTGTTTGTATATTTGCGTGCGTGTTGTTTGTGTGTCTGTATTTAATATTTGTTTCCATGAGAATGTGTATTAGTGTATTATGTATGATGCGTGTTTGTTTTCTGTGTGTTTGATTGCGTGTCTCTGTGTAATATTTGTATATATGTATTGGTTTATTATATATGATGTGTGTTTGTTTTCTTTCGCATTTCTATTCAAATCTATGCGTGAGTGCTTGTGTATTTGTAAATTGCGTGTGGTGTGTGTGTTTCTTTTGTCTGTGTTTGATGTTTGTGCGTGTGCGCCTTTCTGTGTGCTGTGTTTCTTTCAGGTATCTCTTCAAAGAAATGTTCAAGCGCGCAGAGAAAAAAGTCTGAAAGAAACATTATCTGTGTTAGTGAGATATATTGTGCCTGTATATGTTGTCTGTGTTGTTTGTTTATGTGTGCAATTGTTATTTAAAAAACAAACATCAAATGCCACCGTTTTAAGTATTATCGATCACGTCACACGGCATTTGTGTAATTTCATCTTAGCTGCATACGATGCAATTGCCGGATATCATCGGATACGCATGCCAGATGACAGATGAGGCTAGCGATTGTCTGCTCTGCATTGTCAGCTAAGCTGGTGAATTATTTTCTTTTAGCATCTGTCTAACAACATGGAACCAAAAAAAAAAAAAAAAAAAAAACACACACACATTCGACATTTTAATAAATCGGGAGTGATCTCCCCTAAACTTTCTCGGATATTCTAATATAAAACTACGAGGGATGGCATCTCAGGATATAGACAATATTTGTAATCCATTTTAAATTACTTAAACTTTTTATAATAGAATGGAATCTCTTAAAAAAAAGAATTGTACACTAAGTGAACGCCTAATAAAATGTGCATAATAGTGCGGGATATTATTAGTACTTTATAAATTTACGTGTTTTTTTGAGAAATCGGAAACAGCGTAAATTAGTACTTCCGATCAACGGAAATTACTCAAAATTTTACAGAAGGTAGAGAATTAGATCTTTTACTTACATGTGAAATTTCAATTATCTATCTGAAATAGTACTCAAGTTAGAAAAATTCAAAGTAGAAAAAGTACCATTTCCGGTTATCGGAAATCGCTAAATAGTTGATACGGATCTACGATTTTGATAAAATACTTATGTATGACATTTCATCAACCTAGCTGTAACGGTACTCAAGTAATCGTGTTTACACACAGACACACAGACACACACACACACAGACACACAGACATACGGACAAGATTGAAAAATTATGTTTTTCCGTATCAGTGAGCTGTAAAACGTCGAGATTTGTAAAAATCTCGATTTTTTTTGCACGATTACAATACTTTCTCTATACTCCGTATATACGAGAAAGTAAAAATGAAGTAATCGGCCTAAAATGTAATGAAAAACAATATTCAGAAAGAATAATAAAAATAAAAGAATATAGGTAAACAAAAACAGCGTTGAAGAAAAAAAATATGTCTTCTATGCATATTGTTTTTTTTTTTCCAAAATGTAGGCCCTATGTATGTTACACTGTTGAAGATATTATCAATATATGTATGACCCTTGATAAATTAATACTTTAAAATGTGAACTACTATCTCTAGCTTAATTGTTGAACTAATGTAATTAATAAGTGGTCAATTGCTAAGGATTAAATTGACAGGCGGTTATTGCTGTAAGTTATTCGTTTAATTATTCGACAGCTCACCCTCAAATAGTCAGCGATTTTACAGTAAATTATTTCTCAATCATTTATCCTGCAGAAAAATATATCTTCAGTCAATTATTCGGCTGTTAATTATCAAAGAGTCATCGATTTTACAGTTGTATTTCTCAATCAAATACTCTTCAGTCAATTATTCAGCAGTCAATTATTTTCGATGGTATTCTGATTTGCATGTAATTATCCAAGAGCGGTTTACCACGTGTAGAATGATTTGCTCCGCCTTCTCGGTCGTCATGTCCAGTAGGACCCGTATGTCCATCTCGACATCAGAGAGGTGCTGGTCACGTAGACTCCTGTAGCACTCGTCTGCCGTCGTGATCCGTTTGGCGTCTATGGTGACGGACATGGGCTCGTACTTGCTGCACACCTGGAACAGCTGCTGGAGCCGGACTAGACCTGGAGATATAAGAAGTAGGTCAGTGGGTCAGTTAGTGAAACAGCTGATACAAGATGTAGGTCAGTGGGTCAGTTAGTGGAACAGCTGCTGGAGCCTGATCAGACCTGGGGATATAATATGTAGGTCAGTGGGTCAGTTAGTGGAACAGCTGCTGGAGCCAAACCTAGGAATATAAGATGTAGGTCAGTAGGTCAGTTAGTGGATCAGCTACTGGAGCCGGACTAGGATACTCCTTGCAAATCTCTTGATAAAATATACAATTCATACTTTTTGTGTGCAAAAAGTGTTGATTAATTTGTAAGCGATAGATTAAAAAAAACATGTTTTAATCAATATATTATTTGTATTATAAAAGGCAGGATAGGCTATAAAATAAAAACTGAGACCTGGGTTAATTGATCATTCCCACACGCACACACCAAATGTAACATAATATTACGTAACATATCGATTTTTTTATTATACTCGCGAACAAAAACAAATCGTTTTTGAACAAGATGAGCTAGCTCTTCTTCATCAGTTCAAATGATCCTCTTGTCTAGAAAGAAACAAGAAACTTGACTCTTAAGTGTAATTGACACAGTTGTTAACCCCCCCCCCCCCCCCCACTCCCCCCACCTTCCTGTATTTACAATTTTTACTGGCATAGCTATTTTTACGATTGATTTTGTAGCTTTCTAGATTAAAAGAATATATTTTTTCGAATATATTATAATTGTGTTTATTTCAAAACACACATACGACTATCAAAATGTTACTTGAAGGATTTATATAAAAAATGTAAATAAATAAATAAATAATAAAAAATAAAAATTAAACTGGGGCAAGGAACGAAACGAAATTACACCAAGCTAGATAGCTGGATGGCTGAAGCTAATCCGCTCTGTCCGGCCAAAGTTTGGCGGTGACGTCTGCTGCAAGCTTGGCCAAGGCGTCTAGAAGTCATCCATACGAGATGTGATTGAAACAGATCACCTAGAAATGTTTATTGATTAGGCACCCACGTTAAAGGAAGGGTGGGTGAATAAGAAGGGAGATAATCTTTCAAGTAAACGTTGTAGGGGGAGCAATTTGGCGGTAGACAGGGGGGTAATACGCTCGGTAATCAGGGGAAAAAAATCGGATTTATTTTCGCTCTGTGCGGTTTTATATTAGATACAGAAAGTTATAAAGGGAGACGTTGTGTCGAAACTTGTATCGTTCTCACATACTTGATTTCACTTTTGTATTTGATTTATGTTATATATATATATATATATATATATATATATATATATATATATATATATATATATATATATATATATATATATATATAAATATATATATCCCCTTAATGCCGACAGTCGCGTTTTCGCGACATACCGATTTAGCGCATAGCATTTGCGCATATGTTCATTTATCCTACTGCTGCCGGTCGTTTTGTATTGGGTACATCCAGACGGTTGTATCGGTACCAATGGTCACGTTGTCAAGTCGAAAGTGTTTCAGCACTGAGTACCCATACCAGTGGCAATATGTAGCTACAGCACTGTCATTGGTAATCAATATCAGAATCAGTCGAGTACAATAGCCGCAGCACGAATTGGAAACATAGGTTACCATCAACAATAGCAGTGAGTACCCACACCGGCGGCAATGAGTACCCACAGCAGTGACACTAAGTACCCACAGCAGCTGCATTGAGCACGGACGAATATACAATGGCTGAACACTGTCATTTAGGACAGTATTTGTTCACGTGCTTTGTGTGTATAGCAAATATAGGTCCAATGAGAAATATGCGTCTTTATTAGTTGACCTTGAATAAGAGTTCACGAAAATTACGTAACCGGGGACAACTAAGGCTCTACACATTGAAGGAAGTCCTTCCATATGTAGTGTGTTACTGTAGTGTAGTAGAATTACGACAGCAAGACATCAAAATACCTATTCATAAGAGTTAGTCAGTGAGCAGGTGCAGCAGAGTTATGTAATTCTATGCCTGAGCTAATAAAGTATAGTTTTCATGAGTTTTGCAAGTGATTCTACATCTCCTTGCATGTCCGTATGTTCAGTTTGTGATATTTTATTGTTTGTGCGTGGATATTTAGAGAAACATGTAACAGTAAAAATAGTAAAATGACCCGGACTAAAAAAAAATTAAATTACTATTTGGTCCATAAGTGCCTGATGTCGCGTTTTCGCGACATACCGTAATTATCATCAAAAATAAGTCCAAATTCAAAAACACCTATATACCTCAAATTCAGTGTCAATATGATGAGAGAAAATCAGCACAAATAATTTTTTACACGCTTGGAACATAATTCAGGCATTAAGGGGATATATATATATATATATATATATATATATATATATATATATATATATATATATATATATATGTGTATGTATTTATATGTATTTATATGTATTCATATGTATATATATATATATATATATATATATATATATATATATATATATATAATTATATATATATATATATATATATATATATATATATATATATATATATATATATATATATATATATATATATATATATATTACTAGCTGTGTCTGCCAGGGATACCCCTGGCTATGATGATGAATACATAATATGTTTGCAGATTTATAAGTTTGCTTTAACTTAATGTATGATGTCCTCGTGCTTATGAAACGTAGTATCCGGCTGAGCGTATTTGGAAGTCATAATTACTTATTTCCCAGCAATCTTAAATCTGATTTAAGATACAAATATAAGCACTATTTATATTCAACCTCGAAATACATTTACTGATGAGAATTCAGTCTTACGGGCTGTAAGTGTACATATATTTGTCTTTTTTTTAGAAATAAATCTAATAGATGTAACTAGGGTAGGCCTAACTACTAGTTACAATCTGATGCAACTGATAACGAACGATAAGCCGCGACGCAGTATTACAGTCTGATGCAACTGATAGCAGGTGGCTTATTAAATCGGACTGATAACAATCTCAAAGCCAACGCGTGCTATTTTGGGAAACGGTACGAGGGGATTCAGACGGCCTGTCAACTTTGATGGATAGGATGCAGATGTTTTATTAATCGGACTGTACGTTAGAACTGCGCAACTAGTAGTCGGAGACATCGATTACAAATATCGATTACGGAGGAATACAAGTACGAATACGAGTACGAATACAAGGGATAAATAGGAGGGGACGGCTGAGCTCTCTCTCTCTTTCGATCGCTCGCTTTAGATCAGTCAGTCTGTGTGACAGTTGGTTATAGAACGGGTTAGCCGTCTTGGGTTAAGAAGGACGATAGACATGTGGATTCAGTTATATGAAGCCTAGTGAGGACTGTTAGGGGTCAGTTGATTCAGACTATTATTGTGAAGCATTCCTGTTGATTCATTGTGTTATTTTGAAGCATTTCTTGATTCATGTAATAAAAGGATCAATAGCGAACCTGCATCTTCGAGTATTTCTACTGTAGTCGATGTTGTGTAGAATGAGTGGTTAAACTCGTTACATTTGGCACTACAGGCAAATAGTCTCGTAACATGTGGCGTTGCGAGCAGGGTAACTGTTCGCTCGTTACAATTGGCGTCGTCGGACAGGATGAATTCAACTAGACTTGCCGTTTGAGGCACCCATAGTCAACCTTGTGCATAACTGTGTTTTGTGTGTGTGTGAATTCGGACATTCAGGAACTGTGAAAATTGAGGAACGAGAAAAATTTTTCATACACACACGGTAAGAAAGAACTCTTTTTTTGTTACTTACGGAATAAAATGTCTACTCTGGACGAGAAGCAGACCCATATAGTGGTCCTACCCAGAGAGTCCCACATTAACAAATTTTACGGGGACGGTGATCCAACTTTAACCAACAGGTTCAGTGAGGAGGTCAAAGCGGCCTGGGCCTCGAGAGGCATGTCACCAGAGGAAAGATTAAGACTGCTGATGGGCAGTATAGGAGAGATGGTTAGGGCAGAGGTCAAATGTCATGATAAAACCATCCAATCAGATCCAGATAAGGTGCTGGATCTGATTATGGAGACCTTTGGGGAGAGACGGTCGGGATCGCAACTGCTATCAGGGTTCGTAGGCTTAAGGCAGAGAATGGCGGAGAGTGTGATGGAGTACTCACACCGGATGAACAGGGCCTTTGATTCGGTAAAGGGCAAAACACCTGACATTGATGTGCGCCTACTGAGGGACCATTTCATCGAGGGGCTAGCAACCCCGATCTTAAGGAGAGAGTTGAAAGAGGAGGTCCACAAAGACCCGCAGTTGACCTTCCTTCAGGTCAGGAACTCAGCGATCCGCAGGTCCGAGGATGAAAACCAATCGAACTGTTCGGTGGACAAAGTCTCTGTGCCGGAACAGAAACAATCCCCACCCACAGGGGCCGACACGATGGAGACCATGATGGCTCAACTGTTGGCCCACCTAGATAAGGTTGACCAACGTTTGGAGAAGTTAGAAAGCAGGTCAACAGCTGAGAATCAGGAAAAGAACGGGACAAAACAGAGACAGGTTGGACGGCCGCGTCCTGCCAAGCCATTACTCCAATGGACGGCCGACGGTCGACCAATTTGCTTGTCCTGTTCACGACCCGGACATATGGCACGGTACTGCCAGGTAAACGGTCGTCCTCTGTAAGGCAGGGCCAGGCTACAGAGGGGCGAGGTTATGGCCCAAGAAACAAAATGATGGGAGTCTGTCCCGAAATGGTGATTACGATTGGGGACATCGCGGTGAAGGCAATTGTGGATACAGGCTCCCAGGTGACGACAATTACGGAAAATTTTTACACCAAATGGATGAAAGGAAAAGACCATAGGTTGAGGTCTGACACATGCATGCGCCTAACGGCAGCTAATGGACTAACCATTCCATACTGTGGTTATTTTCTGGCAGATGTCGTGGTGTCGGGACATAGGTTGAAGCAGGTTGGGGTGTTCGTTACGAAACACAACCTAGAGACAAATGTGTCAAATATACCTTGCCTATTGGGCATGA